GCCCAAGGGATGCTCTCTTTAAAATTCGGTTGAGCACTTTCTCCCCCCCTCCCGCCTTCCACCCGGCTGACCGAGCCCTGACCATGCCACGACACTGCCATTAGCGGCGGGGCGCGCGGGCCCCCCGGCCTCGGAACTCTCCCGCGGGTACGCAGAGCCCGCACTCCCTGCTCTCATCAACGCCTGCTCGTTCTCAACCGCTCCAGGCCGGGGCAGCCGAAAACTACTTGGCCCAACTTCCGCAGGGACCACCGGAGCTGCCGGAGAGCCCGGCGCCCACCTGCCCGCGCCCTGGGGTCCCGCGGCGCCTTCGTCGCCACCGCCTGAGACGACGGTCAGCCCTGCGAGCCGCCCGCTCCGCGCCACGGAGGGGCTCTCACACGGTGGTGGGCTGAAAGCTGGTAGATTTGGGGGGAAATAAGACGGGGAGGGGCGGGGGGGGATCGACCAGGAGAGACACCCATGCGATGCCAGCCCAAGTACTTTGGTGAGGCTCGGCACTGCCGGGCACTGCCTGGAAAGACTTTTACTGCCTGGAAAGACTTTTGAGACATTCGCCGGGTCTCTGCGTTAAACTAGTGCGGGATGGGAAACGACGGGGCGCCTCCTGGGGTGAATTCAGAGTCATCGGTGTCCGTCAGTTCGTGTCTCGTCCAGAGGCGGGTGCAGCGCTCTGTGCTCTTTGAGAGGCGACACGCGTTGCATGGCACTCGCCAGAGTTTGGGGGCTCGCGCTTGGCCACTTCCCCGGGTGGCTGGAGGGCTGTCGCCTGCAATGCGAGGCGGCTTTGGGGGAGGTGGGTGTCTGCGAGGTCCGAGGCAGAGGTCAGGCAGAGGCTCAGTGAACGTGAAAGATGGGGTGTATTCTCCCCATCTGGCCTCCACCCCTCCAAGCCCCAGTCCCCGCCCCCTAGTTCACGCAACCCGTCCCACCCATCACACACACACACACACACACACACACACACACACACACACACTCCGGAGTTGGATGCCATCGAGGGGTGGTCACATTGTTATTACTCAGAGGTGCACGAGGTCGCTTTGGCTTCTGACTGGCGCTCTCAGAGTCCTGCTCCTGGAACTTGGGCGACAGCCTTGGTTTGGGGAAGCGAGGAAGGAGCGCCCAGCCTCCTGTGGATGCCTCTACCTGGCCGTTCCTGGCGCGCAGCGAGCTACCCTCAGCCAGAACTCCAGTCGCTTCAACCTGGGGGGCTCTGCTCTCCGGCACCGACCCAAGGGAGCGGTTGCTGAGATCCCTGCTCTCTCCCCGGTCCTAGCCCGGTAGGTCGGTCCTCTTCCCAACTTCCCTCCCTCTCCGCAGCACCAGCTTCTTATGGAAAACGGTGATCCCTTGGGGGAAGTTTAATATTTGCAAAGTGCTTCATATCATATTACTTCGTGGATGCCTTTAATTGCACTGTAACTCTTCTCTGGTGTACGTAAACTTAGTCGGATAAATAGCATGCAGGGTCGGGCTGGTGTGGGAGTGAGAGCGGGTGGGCGTCCTCTCTGGAAGGGTTGCTCCGTTCTAAACTGCCTTGCTGGAAGTGATGTAAAGCTGGTGCTTCTGAGAGCTTTTGCTCAGTAGTCTTGACATATTCCAGGGCTTTAGACAAATGTTTCCCCATTACAGTTTATTTCAAATATATTCAACTCCCATGCCAAGAAAAAAGTTGAGAAGATAAGGCGATTACAAATTTGGATAGCAAAACTATTTTTAAAATGTTTTTCATTGGTATCAATTATGTGGGATGTAGCAGATTTTTTTTTAAGTTATCCTGGTGGTTTTCCCTAGTGAAGCTCTTAAACGGAGACAGGAAAACAATACTACATACCTTCCTCCCTGTATGTGTGTGCAAATGGTCCTTGCTTACAGGGACTGAGTGAGCAGCAAGGTAGGCTTCTTTAGGAATGGGAAGTGGCTCGCTCGCTCACCAGTGACTTGAAGGAGACACACAAGGATGTTACAAGCAACATAATGATGGGAAGGAAACTGTTGCTTGCATTTAACTGCCTCCCAGTGCAGGGAATTTTAACAGTGAAGAAAGGAAAACTGCTCTGGCCCCTTTCAAATTACTCTCCACTGTTTTTAAATAGTCTTTTCTCCATTGATAAAAATCTATAGACACATTAACCATGTAAACTGATATATTCAAATAGATGCACAAAGTAGGTTATCTGGGAAATTATAAGCATAGTATTCAGTGGAGTTTCACAGAAGTTCTAGGATCGTGGTTGCCAGGTTAAACCAGACCTCCTGTTTAGATGTCAGCGTTGGAAGTTGCTTCCTTTGAGATCTTTGTGAGAAGGTGCTGCCTACAGTGTGCTGATTATGCTTGCATCATTGTCCTTGCCATTTTGCAGGCATACACAGATGTTTTTGAATGAATAACCTTCTTACTCACTGAATTTTCCCTCATTCAAAAAGTATTTATTGAACACATGAGCACACACAATATGCAAAGCTGAGCTGGGTGTTATTTTAAACAAGAAAGGATTTTCAGTAGCAGCAAGATGCTTACTCCCACACTGTGTAAAAAAAGGCCTGCAGAGCAGTGGCTTACTCAGGGAAGCAGCATCTTGCCCAAAGTAGGTGGCCAACAAAGAGTCCTTGATTCAAAAATCATACAGATGTCAATCCGCCAACTTTCTTTCCCCCATAAATCCCACCAATATTCTTAACTCACCACATCATTTAGATATGACTCAACTTCAGAGAACTGATATTGACTTTAATCTTCTTGCTCTTCGTCTGAATACTCTGGAGAAATATAACTATCTGTGCATTGCTCTAGCTCTCTGTGTCTGACTTCTATGGAACAGTGCCCGATCTGTATATGTCAGTAGTATTCACTTATGAGTAAATGCAAATATTCCTGTTACATTAAAAAAGCAAACTCAAATTCACAGGAAACAACAAACATTTTGCTCCTTTTCTTATCTCTTTATAATCTTGGAAACTTAAAAGTGCAATTCTACTATGTAAATCATCAAAATGGTTATTTAGGATTTTCTAGACAAATGGAAATATCTTATGGAAATTTTAGTTGAGGTGAATTTTCCTTGACTCTTTTGATATGTCTGGCCAGATGGTCTTTCATTTTAGAGACTTTTATTCATGAATGAAATAACTTTTAAGGTAACTTCCCAGTTAAGGGAGCTGGCGGAAGAGGAATGCTTCCTAAAAAATGATGCTGAAAACTCCAGGAATAGAGTACGAGCAGTAATGCTAGGTTTGTGCGATTGAAATGAAATGAATACTTATCTATTTTGTTGGTCTTTATATGCATATGTGTTTGAATTTTTAAACACTTTTTTCAAATATTTTCATATTCTGACATTATTGCAATTGCATGAGGAGTTATAGTTTAGTAATGGAATTATAGTTTGTTTTGCTTTAAGAAAAGGTAAAAGTTTGAAAAGAGAATAACTCAAGTTAAGGGAATAATTATTCAAATCACAGATTTATCTTCATCTAAGTCCTGTCTTTGAAGGGAGATCTCAAAACCAAAATAACTAGTTAAACTTTCATTATGACCTAAATCATCACTATTTAGAGAAACCCTACATTTTATTTTTTTTCTGTGGATTTAATATGAGTTTTTAAAACCAGCAAAAGTTTTTTTTTCCTAGAATCCAATTTAATTATTGAAAAATTTTGCTCACTGTAGATCAGTTTTTGTTCCTGAGTCATGATGTTATCCTTACCTTTACAGCAAAAGTACAATTAAATGATGATATTATTAAGTACACATAAGCATCACTAATCTACTCAAAAACATTTCAGAGCAGCTAACACTTATCAAAAGTAGAAGCAAAAGATACCTGAAGATCCACATAATGTTTAGGCAGGATAAATGAACATCTCTGAATCTAATATGCAAGTTCCATTATTCATGTCTTGTGTAATTAATATGTGGTACAATAGATTATTTTCTATCTTCTTGAAAACTTCTATGAAAGAAAGCTGTTAGTATTAAGAAACGGTTGACTAGTTGGTTTGACTTTAGACCACTTTACCTAGATTTTGCATGGGAGTCAGATATGTTGTGTATGTATATGCATATGCTTATACATATAGAAGATAATGTGTATGTATTTATTTATGTTTATATATCTATATCTATATTTGTCTGATAACTTTGACGAATAGGAAGAGAGTCTCTTTTATGGCCTATGTGATTTGTGAAGTCAGTGTCATCTAATAATAGTACTTACAAATGCTCAACTAGTTTGATATTAAAAATTGAGACTATACTAAACTTTTTTGAACAACTTATCTAAGAAACCCATATGATAACCTTTAATGTGTGCCTGATACTGTCTAAAGAATTCTGCTAATATTAACTAGTTTAATTCTGGTAGCCACCGTGCTAGCCCCACTTCATGAGAGGAAGTAAGTAGGTATTATTATTATCCCTGTTTAGATGAGGAAAGGGAGCCTAAATAACTGGCTCGTCTCCACAGCTAATAAACAACAGAGCTGCCATCAGAGCCCAGACAGCCCACCAGGCTATGCCACTGCTCTTCAACAGGTACTTTTAAAGTTTACTTAAATAAGGGTCCAAGTGGGGAGCGAGTTAAGTAGTAAAGCAAATGCATTCTAGTTACTGAGATTTATGATGGCTTTCAGAGTGAATTCTTTTTTTTTTAACATATTTTTTACTGATTTCTGAGAGGAAGAGAGAAGGATAGAAACATCATCAATGATGAGAGAGAATCATGGATCAGCTGCCTCCTGCATGCCCCACAGTGGGGATGGAGCCCGCAACATGAGCATGTTCCCTGACCAGGAATCGAACACGTAACCTCCCAGTTCAACCACTGAGCCATGCCAGCCGGGCACTCAGAATGAATTCTTAGGGAATTCCTAAGGAAGGCGATCGTCACGAAGCCCGACATAACCTGAACTAGAGCGGTACTAGAACAGCGCTGTAACTTAATGTAGTTTTTAATGGACTCGATAATTTTCTGAGATTCAGCTACTTTTAAATTAGGTAACTTAAGAACTAATGCCATATTTAAGTAGTTTTAATAGCTCAGAGATTCTGGTACTGGGTGTTTTATGCTTCCCATAATATCCTTATAAGGTGAACTTCTTGCACAGAAGTCAATGTTACATGTTATGCTACGGTACTTGTCAAAAGGACCAGCAAAGTTGCATATGAAGGTGTGAAATGAGACTGGTTCTGCTCTGACCCACGTGGCATACAGCAGGCATCCAATTAATGTTTACTGCATGCCCCGAAGGGAAGTATTCTAGAAGTTGCTACTCCAGAGGTCAAGAAACTTTAAATGTATTTATAATTGCATAGTTTTAAGATTGTGATTTAATATTGAATAGAATTTTTCCCTTTTCATGAGGGTCTTAGGACATTACTATCTATGAAACCCTGTGGAATAATAATAATCTGCATGAGAGTGAAGGACCTGAGGTAGAAAAATGATGAAATAATCAACTGATTAAAATGTTTAAGTTTAGAAGTCGGCAAAAGGAAAACTGTAATTGTACGTTTTATTTTTAAATGGCACATAAGATATAATTAACACTAAATAACAGAATCCTTACACTGCCAATTAAGTAGCATAACTGTGCTGTCATAAATATTAACAATCTACTCTTTGAGTATAGTTTGGGGAACTTTTTTTGAACATAGGAAAATGCCACTGTAATGCTCTTTGCCATAGCTAATTCAAGTCAATGAAAAAAATCACAGTAATTCTTAATGTGCCTCACCATAAATAAGATCTAGCTACCTTCTATCTATGAGAATTGGTTGTACTCCATTATAAAGTATATGTTCTGTGGATTCTCTGACTGTTAAGGGAAAGATATGAAGAGAAGAAATACATGTTACAGACGTAAGCTTGATTCAAGTGTTACTTGATTTAAAGGCCTGTGTCAAGCACAGAAGTTGAGAGGAGACTTTTGCGACAGCCACTTCACAATTTTTTCTTGCAGGGCCCAGCTGAACATGCTCACACAAGTCTTTGGAAGATGTATCATCTTATACAAATATGACTAATGGGGAAGAACAAAAGGTTTGCTAAAAGCATTGAAACATTTATATTTATCTATATAACTAATATGAGTTGGTTGAAGTATTAGGATACATAAAAATTTCTTTCTCATATACTAGTATATATATATATATATATATATCTTTGGGACTTTTTTAGATAGAGATGGGGAAGGGAGGGGGGGGAGAGAGAGAGAGAGCGAGAGAGAGCGCATTGATGAGAGAGAAACACTGATTGGCTGCCTCCTGCACTCCCCCTACTGGGGAGTGAGTCCATAAGCTGGACATGTGCCCTGACCAGGAATCAATTTGGTGACCTCTTGGTACATGGGACAATGCTCAATCCACTGAGTCACACCAGTTGGGCTCTTTTATATTTTTATACCATAGAATGCATGGCTTCAAGAAACAATCTATTTCCTAACTCTGGTTATTAAACTTGAGTAACTTGATTTAAAAGGTTAAATTTAACTTTATTCTTAGTTTTTTGGTTTTTTTGGGGGGATAACATTTAATTCTGGTAGCCACCCAGCTATCTTCACTTTGCAGACTTGGAAAGCTTAGAAACTAATGTTCCTCTATGTTAGTTTGTCCTGTCGCCTTTATTTCCTGGTACTTTGGCATGTGGTATCATGGGGCAGACACAGAGCTTCTTCCTGTGGACATCTCAGTCTGGACAGCCGAGAGCTGAGGGATTCCGCAGGGGGGATGTCAGGAGGAGGTGGAGGCAGAAAACAGGACAGATGAGGGTGTATGAGGAGATGGTGGGCCAGCACATGGATTGCTAGCTAGTAGGAATACTTAGTTTCATTCCAGTATTTTTATTTCATATTTATTTTAGTCCTCTGTTCCCAAAGTTTGACTACATGTGCAGTGACCACTTAATCCTGAAAACTGACTCTTTAAAGTCAAGAACATTATTCCCATTGTCCTGGTAGCAGTACCTGGCATATCATAAAATGATAAATATTAGCTATAATTATGATTGCCTGATTTTCTACAGATGGAATTATTTTTTCTTAATCAGGTATTTATCTTATTCTCATACTTGGTCCACTGACTAGACAATTTTTACTTAACAGCATTTAGTTTAGGAGTTTCTGAATTCCATAAACACTGGCATCCTTTTAATAAGGAACTCTCAACTCTGTACTTACCAAAATAAGATCAAGGGCTTGAGCATTTTTATACATTATTACTTTTCTAATGTTACCTCTTTTCAAATAGTTTATGTTATTTTGCTATTCTGTGTTGGCAACATCATCTGTCCATACACCCAAGAAAAGTGAGCAACCAAGAATATGTCGTTACAAGGATCATAGTAGGGACACAGGTACCTACGGGTCATCTTGTATTTCTCCTGCTCCTCTAGTCTGTCACCAAGACACGAAAACCCTGCCTCCTAACACCTCCCTTGCCACCAACCCCATTGCTACTGCTTAAGCTCAGGTCGTCAGAACTCACCCGATGGCACTAGCCTCCTTCTTAGCTTCAGGTCTCCAATGTCTTCAGTGCTTCTGAAACTCTTCCCAAACGCCAACCTCCTCATGTAATGTCCCTGCTTAATAACCTGTGGCATCCTTTGCCTTCCAGGTAAAGTTCAAACCACCTCAACCTTCAAAGCCATTATTGTTCCAATGGCCCAGCCTGGGACTCATCTCCTGTCACTCCAACACAAAGTGCATGCATTTGGTAGATGCCAAGCAAGGAACAGAGCATGCTATTTCGTACTTCCATGCCTCTGCACATGCTGGCCCTCTGCCGAAAGTGCTCTCTACTTGTCTAACTTCTCTTCCTCGTCACTTCTCTCTGTTTTCTTACCCCTTCCCTTTGTAGCCCACCAACCACGACCCAGACCACAGTCAATATCCTCATTGTTTAGCATAGTGTCTGGAATATAGGAAGTACTAAATACAGTTCTATTGGAGAAGTAAATAATCATCTTATTCTCCCTTCTGCCTCGCTAATGTTTATCTGCCTTTTTCTTGCTGACTTATTTATTTCAGTAAACACTATTGAGCAACTGCTGTGTATCAGGAAGTGTGTTGAGGATATAAATGACTTTGTCCTTGCCCTCAAGAAACTTACAAGCTCGAGAGCAAAGCCAGCTGGTAAAGGAACAGGTAGTGTTCAGCGTACTAGATGATGGAGAGAAGCTGGTGTGGGCACAGAGCATGAGGGAGAAGACCTAGTTCTGCCAGTGATCGGGGAGAACTTGCTTCCCACCCTTCATTCCCCATCTCCCCTCTTCTCCAGTCTTCTAAGTGTCCATTGTAAGCATCCATCTAGGAAGATTTTAATTTTTAAGAGTAGATTCAAGTCTCCATTTCTCTAATAATGGTCTGTAGAGAACTAGGTAGTTGTTTTTTTTCTACCTGCAAGACTAAGAAAGCGTCAGAAAGTTCCATAAAAGTCCATGTGCTCATTTTGAGTTTTCCTTCTATTCAAATTATTTTAAATATATCTAATAATCATATTACCTATTTAAGTTGACTTCTCCCCTATAAAGCAGGAAACATATCTAACCAATTATGAGTATCTGCTTATAGTGATATAAAAATCAGTTTTTCTCTTTTAAGATTTGAAGTAAAAATGAAACGAAATTATTTCACCATCACCACATTGGAAAACTCAAGAAATGGAAATGGCCTGTTAATTAATATATTTAAAAGCCAGCATTTTTAAAATATGTGTTGTCATTCCCTGGTGAATGACCCTACATACAAAAAAATAAAAATTATTTTCAAAAATGAAAATATATTATTACTTAAAAACAATATACAAAATATAGTGCACTATTTCTAAAAACATTAATACATTTAATATAGTATTTAAACAATAACCATACTTTTGGCCCTGCTGTTAAACTCTTGCCACCAAGTAATACCAGCTTCAACCAGCTGGAGTGGACAGCAAGAAACCATATCATGACAGTGTTCAAAATCTTACTCATACATTCAGCAGTTATTCATTGAACACCTACTATATTCCAGGAAAATGATCAGCTGATTGAAAAGCCTGAGTTCTGCATAAAATGGGCGATTTAGGGATGCACTGACATTGTGGTTGTTAGAACCCATAAAAGTAAAAAACTTTCACAACTATCCATGTGTATATTCTTGGGTTTTCCCTTTGAATAAAACCTACTTTTTAAAGAGCTCAATGGCTATTCATTGGGTTCTTTCTTTGCCTGAGTTGCTCATCACTTGGAATTTTTATTTATTTACTTTTTAGAACTATCTGGAATAACCCCCATTTTCTCAGTAAAGGAGATCAGAATTTATATCATGGAAAAGGGAGAATGTATACCATTCCCACTGGACTATGCATCCCTTCCCCAGTGGAGGCATACTGGGAAAAGGATGTGTTGACGTATTTTGCTGACTATATTTGAAAAATACATTTAGGTAGGTGTTTTTAAAATTATTTTCCATCTGGAAAGCTTTTTTTCCCCTTCACCTGGGATGAACACCAAAATTATTAATTCTATTTAAATGTGCTGTATTCAGAAGAGTAGCTGCCAAACTTGTTGGGGCCTATAACAAGATAATTAATTATCTAGCAACGCGAGGACTATTGGAGTGTTGGATATAAACCAGATGGTGGGAGAAGAAGGATGAGGCAGTCAGGATGCTGTGAGCGGTGTGATAAGTCTTTTTGGCCTGTGTGGGGTAAAGCCACGTGTGTGCCAAGCCTCCCTCATCCTCCCTGCTGTGCTTATTTTTTCCCCATTGATCCTTCCACCACCCCATCACTTCACCCCTGGAGACTCCAGTGCCCCCCCCCTGCCGCCACTTTCATTTTAAATGTCAGGGGAGGTGAGGGCAAAGGTCTGCTCCCCTTGGACCCTGGATTCTGCCAGCATCTGTGGCACCCCAGCACCTATCCCGCCCCATGGAGCAGATCAGCCCGCCATCATTACCCTTGCCCTGACATTGCTTTTAGTCACGCAGCTGTAGAGCTATTAAGGAGTTGGAGGTTCATTTCAGAGTCCGTTAAGATAAATTAATATTAGAAGCAAACATCATGATTTTTTAAATTTACACATTTCAAAGACCTAAACTGAATGCTAAACATTTTCTTAGAAAAAAACCTGGTTAGGATATCAGTGAAAAATGCATACAAGAAACAGTTACTTAACCCCCTCCCCATTTGTCAAAGTGATGTTCCGTGTCTAATCCAGTTTGTGAGCAATTAGAAGGTGCATTTAGACTGAACTCAGTATTTGATGGTAGAGATTGTAGTGACTTCACCATGATGCTTTTCCTGCAGATTACCATCACGATGCACTGACTGTGAGAGTCACCGTCCTGGCTGGTATTACAAAAGGGGGTGACATTTAGATTACAGATATATTTTACAAACTATCTAACTGCAAACTTTTAGCACTCAGGCACTAAAGAAATACAGAATAACCCAGGTAAGACATCTTCACAATGAAGTCACTCATTCATCATTTAAAAAAAGAAAAGAAAAAAGAATGAGCTTCTGATGGGGAAGTAAGCGGTCACCTTGCCTATCCCACCCTCTCAATATCAGGCCCATCTTTTATTATTTAAAGTAGAGCTCCCTAAAATAGATTACACTGACAAGTAGTAATTACTGACAGCTGCATTTAATTAGCAAAGCAGATTCCTGCTCATGACAATAAAGTATTATTACATGTTTAGCATTAGCACTGGCAGTAAAGGAGGTGACTTTGCTAACACAGAACTAGCAGACCTGTTTCCTTTATTTAAAAATGCACGCAGTTTGGCTGGAACTGAGCTGGTGCTACGTGGGAGTGTCTGTGGTTACAAAAAGAAAGAAAACAGTAGCTATAAAAGTGTTTTGTGTTTTTTTAAAAAAAGAAACAGGCATATTGTACAAGAAAAAAAGATATTGTACAAGAAAAAAAGAAGTAGACCAGTGCCAACCATTGGCTCCCAGTCTTGAATTGTGTGTCCTTGTTTTTGTGTCAGAGGTGTTTGGATGCCAGAGATAGAAACACAATTAATCCATGTAAATTAGTAATTTATCATT